TTCTTGGCCAGGCTAAATTTATAATTGATCTCCTACAGGTCTGCTGCAGTTGTTCAAAATATCCCCTTTTAAACCCTGAGTCTAGTAGTGTCAAATGCTGCAATACATTCTACTGAAATACAAACCAGACTCCCATTTCAATGCTGTTTAAACTGAAGCTAGAACTACACTAAATTATGTTCCAAAAGAAAAGTCACCAGCATGTGATATCAAATTTAAACAGACTTGGTCAATTGTACCAAATTGGTTTATTAGCTTAATAATGATAATGATAACAACAGCAGCACAAGCCAAGACTATGCTAAACACTTCACATACATGTCTCATTCATTATCTCATCTAATTTCACAGCACTAAGAGGAAGGCACTTTGAGCATCATCTTTTTCCTCATTAGATGAGGAAATTCACAGAGAGTTGACATGTACTGCCCAATGTCATTCAGTTAGTAAAAGATGGAGCTAGAATTCACACCCCAGAAGGGTGACTGACTCAAGTACATTGCCTATTCATTCATGTAACAAATACCTGAATGCCTATGTACCACACACTTTCTAAGTACCCTCACCACAGTGTTTTCACCCAGGAATATAGATGGATTCTGAACTATCCATAGGAATTATTTCCAGAATTTAGCACTAGCCAAAAGTAATGTTCCCAAAGGTTTACATTCTCTCTGCCGGAAAGTAAAAAGAGACTGTCTCAGAGAAATTCTTCTGAAATATAGATTTCATTAAAATACCTACCCATCTCCCCTTACAAGGCTCTGCATACCTCTTGAGAATGGAGAACCTGCCTCACTCACTCTTAACAACCTCAGTGCCGGGACTTATCAAGCACTCAACATACCATAGAATATTGTCATTGTTTCTTATGAGTTTGTCTTCTACAATAAGCAAGAAGCTATTTGAGGTCTATGGGTTTTGTTTTCTTTTTTCACCCATTTTTGTATCCCCAGTGCTAGAGCATAAAATAAAGCTAATACTTTACAGAGTTTTGTGATGACTGCATGAGTTTATGTAAGCCATTTACCTAAGGTTCATTTAGGCATTCAATAAATAATGGTTTTCTTCTCTTCTCCTCATTTACTTCTCCAGCACCTAGGCAGCCAACCCAACTCTCTTATTGCTGACGTAAGTGAACCAAAAGGCAAGGCAGAACCTGGCTTAACAAGCTGCCAATTAACTCAAGAGCTCATCCGCTACACATTTCCTATATGTCATTTTCCTGGGAACCCCACCCTGTAAAAGACTCAGGAAACATCTCCAAGCAGTGACAACTGAGAACCAAACCACGAGGTTCTAACTATATCCGCTCGAATGAGTTACCTAAGGTGACTCTGAACTCTATACATATGACTCACATGAAATACAGTGAAGGACAAAGGTCTTCCCTCCTGTGTAGGAACGCCTACAACAACAACACTGTTTGAAGAAAAACTCTGTGGGTATATTACTGAACAAGGCAAATTAGCTACATCTTCCAGTATGATATACCTTTCTGGAAAATTCTTAGTAGTTATTAGGAGTTTGAGTTATGAAAAACTAAACTGCCTTCTTCAGACAGCAGACACATGCTCAAAATATGGTAAACAGAAACTGACTTTGAAGCTACATCATATAAAATTAAGACAGTCATAAAACATTCAGGCCACCTAAAATAATCATTGCTTTTACAGCCAATTCCCCCAATCCCTCTTTCCTCACCCTCTCCATGTACTACCACCTTTCCCAAACCTGGAGCAGTCATCTGCAGTCAAAAGTTATAACCCTCAAAAATGCACTTCGCAATGCCTGACCATATCACTTCTTAGCTGGGTTCCATTGGGAGAGTTTGCCAACTACTCTAAGCTTCAGTTCCATCATTTGCAGAATGAAGATGGCCAGGTTACCCTCCCTGAGCAAGTGATGAGAGACCTCCCAGGCTGCACAGGGTCTAGGGAGCACTAGATAAATGCCACTGATTATTATCCACTCTGATGTTTAGAAATAAGTTACGAAATTCACTATTCAGAATACCACGGATGCATACTATTTCAGCCACAGTGACTTCTTTTCTGTTACAAAATGTCCTTTGCCCCTTAACATCTGTTCTTCTCTATGCCTGGAATCATCTTCTAGCTCCTCCATGGCCTACGTATTTTTATCCTTAAATCTCAATTCAAATATCCCCTCCTCAGAGAAGCCTTCCTTGAGATTGCCACTCCCAACATCTCACTCTTCTAACCTTGTTTAAATTCTTTCATGGCATTTACAAACATTTGTAATTGTCTTGTATATTAGTATAGATACTTTTATCTTTTTCACAGTGATAGTTACAGGTCTTAGCATTGTACTCAGCACATAATGGGTGCTTAATAAATAAATAAATGAAAGATGATATAAAATAAAATATTATAAAAACTTAACATTGTGCTCACACAACATAAAAAACAATTTCAGGTTAACACACGTCAAAATAAACATCTGACTGAAAAAACAAGGTAAGAGGGAGGAGGGTTCGGAGAGATATTACACAACAGTTTTTCTTTGCTGCCTGCTTAATTGCAGAGAGGAATTCAAATAATAAAATTTACACAAATGAGGACGTACAATTAAGGTCATTCAAAAATTTTAGGAATATTAAGTCTACTTTTTAAATGGGGGGGTGAATATTTCCAAGACCTGGACAATAAAAATAGTGACTAGAGTGCAGCTAATTCTATTTTCTTGATTAAGGTGAAATTCAGGACTTACCACTGTTATCAAGTAACAGTTTTTCCATTTGTTTAATTACACTCTACCACAGACCTATATGGTGGATCAATTTCCACCATAGCTGGGATTTCCACTACTTGGAGAGTATATATGTGGTTTTTACACATGACTGATAAAACACTACTATTTCAAGATGCTCTGTAAGCTTCAAAGATATTCCATGAGTACTCATGGGAAACATTTTAAAGTGTGTTAGTGTTTTTGTCCCTAATACAAAACTAGTTGATGTTATTTCTACTAAAATAATTGTTATAGTTGGTAGGATTATAGAGGATTAATTTTATTTGACAACCATCTCACGCATATTAAGTGCAAGGCACTGCTCTAAGTCCTTTACATACTGACTCATTTAAGTCTCAAGACAACCATATAAGGCAGGTACTTTTATCATTACGCAGCTGAGGAAACAGAGGCACCAAGAGGAGACTTGCCCAAGGTCACCAAGATAGTAAATGGAGGAGCTGGAATGTGAACCCAGGCAGTCTGGATCCAGGGCCCATCGCTAGACTATGCTGTCTCTCTAATGTTTTAAAGAAAAATTTATAGTTTATGAAGAACAAGTCAATCCCAAGGTTAGACTAGTTTCAGTTAAGTAAAAAACAACTCTGAGCCATCTGGGCTCTAAACCTAGACAGAAAGAAGGTTGAAGGGAAGAAGGTGGTGGGCGGGGGGGGGGGGGGGGGGGGGGGGGGGGGGGGGGGGGCTGGCGAGACTGTAGTAAAAATGAAAAATTAGGTAAATAGAGAAAATAGAGGGACAGAAGGAAAGACGAAAGCTACTTGTAACCACCATTCACAATATCTGAATGGTGAATGTTTTTTTTGAAAAGAAAATAAGAAAAGAGAAAAGACAGTGTCTCTATAATCTCTAACTAGCTTATTACATATACGGTACATTTCCATCCCAAATGCTGGATTAAGCCACCTAAATTAGGAGGAAGCAGACAATTAACATTCCAATTCCCTTCCATAAAACTGAAGGTACATGTTAAGTGATTCCCTTAAATTCTGGGAGTTCAGTGACTTTCTACCAACTTCTCTCTTTTTCAGTAGGGGAAAGGGTAACAATTAAACTTCAATTTCTTATCCAAAAGAATCAGAATAATTCCCCAAGCTGAGTAACACATAGGAAACTTTGGTAGAGCTCAGCCAAAAATAACTAAACAAGAAAGAAAATAATAAATATTCACAGCATATCCAGGAGTTTCCAAAAGTATGTAATTATAAGAGACTATAAAGGAAGAACCACATAGCATAAAATCTATAGAGGGGAACATTCTCTGAACATTTCCATACTCTATTCCAAGCAAGGTAAATTTAAGTTAAAACTCAACTGTATAAAACCAACTAGAGCCAAAGAATAGCAATTTCCTCCAGGCTTCTGCTTTTGTCCCAAAGTGGCCACTTAAAGATAGGAAAAGCCTTGCAACAGGACTCCAGTCTGACCCAAGAATATGCTAATTTGACAAATTTTTGCTCATTTTTTGAGATTCCTTCCCTCTCTCTTTGGCTGAGAGGAAAGAGAAAAGGTACATAAAACAAAGAAATAAACCCGGGAAACTTTCATCAGAAGCAAAAAAGTTAACTTAATAGAAGTTGTAAGCTGAAATGGCAAGTGATCAGAATAAGCACTATGTCCTATTTGTTTATACTTATTTACTATTTGTATCTTCAGTACCTAACACAATGCCCAGCACCTATTGGATATTAAACAAATACGTACTCAATAATGAGTCAATGAACATAAATGTTACGAGAAAAGGGAAGGCTCAAAATGCTTGAGACTATCTAGCAAGAGAGAATCTTTCACTAAATATTTGCGTTTTTCTTCCTTGAGAAAGGGACCGCTCCTTACAGGTAATATTTATGGGGCAGCACGATGTCAGTATTACGGTGATGACATATGGCATCAGAATTTGAGATAATTAATGGAGAAGAGTAAGTAACTGGGATTCCACAACCACCTAGTATTGGCTGCCAATGTTTTTTTGCTGCCAGATTTTAATCTAAATCTATTGACTTTGATTTGGCGTAATGGTAATACCGCATATGAAGCAAGCTAAAGAAACCATGACTCCCTCCCTTTCCAAGAAAGCTAATGTTAGGGCCCATGAGCTCCTGTTTGCACCTGGTATTACAGGCAGCTATGATTGGAGTCAAGTCCAGAAAGGGAAGCTACCTCAGATCTGTTTTGGGCCTATATGAGTATTATCAGCAGGGTCCCAGCAAAAAAACAGCACACTCAAATAAAATATTCAAGAGAATTTAATGAAGGAACCATCTTCAAAGGCATAGGCAGGGTTTAGGGAAAGCAGCAAGGGATGGTGGCATACTCCCAGACCAGCAGCATGAGGAAGCCATTATCATCTTGAGGCCTAAAGGGGCAAATAAAGGGTTACCAGAACTCAGAAAGATCTGTAACTGTAGCAGGCTGGCAGAGGGGGCCACTGAATAGAAGCCATGACCTACTCACAAAACACAGAACAGCTCTGGCAACATAAATCCAGGAGCAAGGAACTGGCTCTTCCAGGCCTCCTGCTGATGACCCATTAGCCAAAGCCAACCAAAAACTAAAAGCAAGAGCTCTGTTGATGCAGTCCACAGAAGTCGCTTCTCAGCACAGAGCAGGGTGAAGAAAAGATCTGGAGGAGCAAAAGAATATGCAGCACAGAAGAGTATTTATTCTAAATGACTGCCGCCCAGCAAAACACAGGCACATAAAAAGGTTTTGCCAGTTCCACCTGAATCTTCTAGGCACCATGGGAATGCCTGCAAAAAGAATCACAAACACAGGTACTTACTTGGGTTCCTACTGCCCTTGGGGAAGAAAAAAAAGATTCTAAGAGTAATCCCAGGTAACTTCTGTCATTTCTGCATCTCTAAGAGTAACCACACAACCCAAACATCTGTAATTATTAGATCTAAAACAACTCCCTTCTCTGTACTCAAAGAGCATCTACTCCATACCTCCATTATTACTCTTATCATGACATATTGTAACCTCTTGTTTATTTGTTTCTCCCTCATTCGACTCTGAGCTCCTTTAGGGCAGGGACTGTCTTACTCATTATTGTATCCCTAGCACCTCATATGGACCTGGTATAGAATTAGCCTTCAATTAATGTGCACTGGATCAACTGGTGGACTCAGTGTCCATTAACTGGCAGCCTAATGCCACGGTGGATAAAATTTGGAATGACCCTCAGCAATTAAACACTAAGAAGGTTCTGGGTTTGTTTTTTGTTTTGTTTCATTTTTTGTTTTTGTGAGGAAGACTGGCCCTGAGCTAACGTCTGCTGCCAATCTTCCTCTTTTTGCTTGAGGAAGGTTGTCACTGACCTAACATCTGTGCCCATCGTCCTCTATTTTAGGTGGGATGCCGCCACAGCGTGGCTTGACAAGAGGTACTGGGTCTGTGCCCAGGATGTGAACCTGCAAACCCCAGGCTGCCAAAGCAGAGTGTGCAAACTTCACCACTATACCACCAGGCCAGCCCCTAAACACTAACAAGTTTTATTCAGGATATGGTTTAATACACTGGGCAAAAACATAGCTCCTTTCGTACCAGCCCACTATCACTCTTTGTAGAGCAGCTTTTCTTGAGTGCTCAGATGATATTTATAGCTTTTTCTACAATCATAGACTCATCATCAAAAGAGCCACAGAAAGATGGGAAAACTACGCTTCATTTCAGAAAGGAAGCGAATACACATCATCCCTCAAAATTCTCACTCTTTTTCCAAGAATTTACCAAGGAGGAACTAATAATTTGGATGTATTATATAGAGGAATTCATGTTTCATAGTGAAGACGACATTGACTTAGGGGTAGAAATGCTTGCACGCACATGTGCGCACACACGCAGGACACAGTTAATGATCACTTCAACAGACAACACCTTGGTAAAATTATAAAGTAGCCACGTAGCACAATCACGTAACATCGTCATATTAAAATGAATACACTGTACGATGTTGGAGTGGTCATTAACAGAACCTGGAACATATTCACATTATAATTATGAATCACTTTCACATAACCCTATATTTATGAAGTGCTTAATCATCTTTTTGTTGGTATAGTCAACTCTTACCTGTAGATTCTCCACAGAAAAAGAAAAAAGTTAATGCCAAGTTGATAACCCTCTTCAGGCTATGATGATTTCACGCTGCCAATCTCCTGCAGTCCATAAGGTTAATAAAAACTAAATTTAAAACGACCTTTAGACTCCACTAGAAAGATGAGCTTGCTATAAAACTATATTGTCTTCCAAAACTCAGCACGAAAAAGTTTTGTATCTCTTGTACCACTATTCTCTTTCATTGCTGTTTGTAATGGAGAGTTGATGTTAAGTCTAATGTCATTTTATATATCAAACTAAACTAAGTCAATACTTCATTTTCTATTTATGAAAAGGGAATTTGGGGCTTATCTTGACAATACACTGAACTACCTCAAAAGAAATTCTAATAATACAAGAACAGATAAAATGTGTTTCAAATAGATCAGGTATCTTTTCCTGAAACGTACTTAATGCATAAGTCCCCAAAACAAGCTTTTTTCCAAAACCATCAAAGACATTAAAATCGTAAACACAATTTTATCTTTTTGAGAGCCATCATAAACCCTGCAACTGTCAGATCAATGTAGCAATAACCTTACTTTTACTGCTAGAGGACAATTATGTGATGTTTCCATCATATTGAAAATATAGACTACCAGAACCTGTAATTTATAAAATCATACTACATATAGGTTCCTCCCTTATATATGAATTAAAAAACAAAAAAACATAGATCTACCATATAGCTGTGTTTAACGACAGTAGCTTCAGCTACCTCAGAGCAGTATTATGTTTCATGCGTCCTAGTACAGTGCTTGGCCCAAAGAAAACCCACGTTTGTTTTATAAATTAATAACGTCCACAATGTAGGAAAAGGGGAAGCTGATATAAAATTATGAGAGTACACAATATGTGGCAATGACAGAATATCCAATACGTTAGAATTATCAAAATTACTTCTGATCAAATTTTCCTCTCCCTTCACTAAAAGACAAATGAAGGTTAACAAGGCTCCAGTGAAACTGAGCAAAAGTTAAAATATGTTTCAAAATTTAACATCTTTACCAAAGGTAAACTTTTCACTGCAAATAAATCTGAATATATTTTAATGTAATTATTAATATGTCCTGACATCTGAAAGGATTACTTGTGCTTCTATAAAAAGTGTTCCAAAATTGTGTTTCGCTTTCCTAAACTTAATTCCTAAAATTCATGGTGGAGCTATACAGGAAGTGTCTTGGTAAACAATAAAGAAATTTCATTAAAAGAAGATTTTTCTGCAAAAAACAGGTAACATTTTATAAGTATTCAGCAAGATTGCAAGCGCCTAAATGGTCAGGTTCAAGGCAGGAGAGCGAAATACTGGATTAAAACCTGGGGGACTTCCTATCCCTGAAAAGCCATTACGCAGACCTGCATCTAGGACGCTAAAGTCACAGCTCTCCAACCCTGCCAACCTACCAGTACCATTACTTTGATACTTAAACATAAGTAGGACTACCCAAACCTCGAGCAGGTCTTGTTGGGGTTTTTTCCCACAACGTATAAACAGTTCACAACATACTGCCTTACACAATACATATAAAAAAGATGGAAGTCCCTCCTTCCAAAGTCTGTCCTTTATCCAGATGACTTCAATCCTTTCTCGTCCAAAGAAAGGAGAAACTGGCAACCAGAAGCCCCATAACTGAATTCATCAGGAAGACAACGCCAAATTTGCTGCAACCAAAGAATGTCTAGTCCTCCCTGCGGGCTGTTACAGGAGATGGAAAGCTACACCATGACAAGTCCTGTCCAGAGAAGGCAACAGCAGGTTTGGGGCACTCTCCCAATCCCCCCAAAACACAAGCTGCTTCTGATTCTGACCTATGGGCAGAAGCTTGGCACCCGCACACCCACTTACAACCTGACAATTTACAACCTGGTAACACCTTCTAATCAGGAACGTTCTAGCCTTTAATAGACGAAAAATTAACCTGCTTCCCACAAATAAGATCAACTAGGCACTGGAGCCTGTTACTGAGAACCCCTAGCGCATTAAACCTCCAGTTTCGGTACTGAACCTGATAAGCCAGTGACCAGGCTTCTCGACAGCAGAGAGGGCAGGAGCCCACCCTGCTCTGCTGCGAGTGGAATGGGAAAGAGAGGACAGGAGCAAGGGACCGAGCGCAGGGGCGTGAACAGCGTCCAAGCAGGGCTGGGCTGAGCGCACCGTTGGGCGACAGACAAGACAACAGCGGCCACACGGGAGCCGGGGTGCAGGCTGCAAAGCAGGGTTCCCGAGCTGCGGAAGCCACCCTCTGCGTCCCGCCGGGCACAGGCGCGCGTCAGGCACACCCCCCACGCCGGGCCGCGGCTCTCCGCGAGGCCCCTCCCAGGACACACACGCCCGCACCTACCGGGGCACCCACCCCGGGCTCGCGCACACACGCCCCTCCGGCGGGCGGCGCGTACGTACCCAGCACCACGCAGAGCACATCGAGGGCCACGTACGGGAGCCGAGTCTTGTCAAACATGGTCTCGGCGCGGGCGCCCCGGCGCGGGCGGCAGACGAGGCACTGATTCACGAGACCGGCCCCGAGCTACGGCGCCTCCCAGTCGGGGGAGAGCAGCCGACGGCGGACTGGCACCGGGCGGCGCTTGGACGGCCAGCAATGGCGCCCAGGACCCCTCCCCTCACAGCTCCCGCAACTAGTCGGTCGGGGCCGAGACGCTCGCGTGCCAGCCGCCGCCGCTCCGTGGCCTCAGGCCCTCCTCAGTCGACCTCCGCACGCCCTGGCTGTTCGCTGTCCGGATCCCGGCGCCCTCTCCACAGGCGGGGCGTCGGGACTCGTGCTTTAAGGATGGGGACCGGTAGGGAGGAGAAACGCGAGCCCAGCCCCTCCCGCCGGGCAGCGCGGGACCGGCCAGCGTACGGCCGCGCGGGCTGAGGGAGCGAGCCAGCGGCTGGGCGGCCAGTCAGGGGGCGGTGGGGCGGGGTAGGGGAACCCCAGGCCGCAGCGCGCCAGCCAATCAGCGCCGCGGGCCCCGCCCCCCCGACCTGCAGAGCCCGCCCCCGAAGGGGGACGCGGTGCTAGGGGCGTTTCTCCCACCCGCGAACCTCCGCTGGTCTCCAAGCACGGCCTTGTCAGCTCCGGCTGCCGGTCGTGGATGCCTCGGAGGGAAAGCTAGGCTCCCGACCCCGGATCCCGGAGCGCCGGTGCCAGCCCTGCCCACCCGAGGGCACTGGGTAATAAAGAGGTCCGCGGTAGGCAGTGACAAAGACTCTCGCCTTGTCCAAACTTGAGTTAGGTTCCTTTGAGCCCTATTCTCGCCTAGGCCTCCACCTAGGCCTTCCAGTCCGGCCCGGTATTAGCCCGAATCCTGCTAAGTCATCCCGTCACCCTTGATAGCTGATTGTGTTTGATAGGTAATCAAATTGCTTTATCCTCCACTTCTGATATAGTCTGCCTTTAGCAAGAATCCCCCTACCCATCCTGTTTCCTCTTAGTAATTTTCCATCCACTAACTCCCCTCACTTTGCTCGTTTGTTGGCTGTGAATTCCCAGCTGTCTTGGCTGTATTTAGAGTTGAGCACAATTTCTCTCCTATTGCAAGAGTTATGACCCCCTCCTGCAATAGTCTTGAATAATGTCTTCCTCACCCTTTTAACAAGCGGCAGAGTAATCTTTCTTTAACAGCAGTGAGTAATCCTCTCACCCCAGGTTCCTGGAAGACCATACTGAAGGTTTAGTAATCTCAGTGTCCTGATCTGTAAAATTGAAATGTTGATAATCCCTGCTCTCTGTTCTAGTGAAGAAGTGGCAAAGCCCGGAAAAGATAATATGAAAGTGTCTTCTAAAAGGTTACACTCTCTACAGATGTTAGCGACTTGTATCTTTCCTCCTTAGTCATATCTTACTTCCTTAGACAAAGATGTAAGAGGCAAATCGAAAACTGTATCTGCTACTTCTCAGACTTTTCCTATAAAGCACCCCCAGAAACAGTGAAGAGATAACGTTACCCTCAAGGAGTCTAAAGATAGAGCCTCAAGTAGTCCCCCTCAAGAAATGTATTTGAAGAAGCATGTTTTTCTTTAAAAGGAATGTGAGTTTTAGATTTCACCTTTCGTTTGAATATCTTTTAAAAGCTTTAAACAATTTATACCTGAGAAAGATGTCTCATTGTTTATTCTGTGGCTTCCCTTACTTCCAGAGTTGCAAGGACCCCAAATTGCAAGGCCACAATAAATTGAAATTACTTGTGATATGTAAGGATTAGGTATTCATTCAAAAAACAATTATCATGACTGTGTGCCTGGCTGAGTCTAGGCACAGAGTTTTATTTAAACACGTTTTGAAGTAAACATTTACTTTTAAAATGCTTTTTCAGAAGTAGACACTCAAAAAACCTTGTTAATTAATGATTTTGTTTGTTTTTTATTTAATCATTCATTCATTCCATGTTTGTTGAACCCTGAATATATACCAGACCCAGTGCACAGCTGTGGAGCGACTGAGATGAGCACGAGAAGATCTCTGCCGTCCAGGAGCCTGCTGCCCACTTAGCAAGACCGGCATGTAATTAAATGAATATTGTGTTAGAAGCATCTGGGAGTTTTACCTGAAACACTCCTTAGGGAGGTGATACTTATGTTGTTCTTTCCTGTCTGTCTCCCACAACAGCAGACGTTTTCTTAGGTGAGAAAGAAGAAAAACAGTTGATATATTAACAGATTGGTTGACCTTTGGAGGAGTTACAGATAATAGCTGTAAAAATAGGTCAACAAAGCAAAGTCCATTAAGATGTGTGTCATTTCCTGTAATTTTAAATGGGATCTGTGCTATGTGCAGATTATAAGCAATTAGTAAATCCTCAGATGAAGAGAGAATGACTAAAGAAATGTCATTTTGTTTTGGAGTGGGGATTTTTGTTCCTTTTTGGCGAGGGAGGTGTTCGTTTTAGTCTCTTGTCATGATTGGATTCTGATGTGATTACTGGAATCAAGAATGAGTGAAATAACTTGAAACAATGGTGAAAATAATAAAAAGGACACACTGAATAATGATACCCTTAACACCCCCCTCAGGGTAGGTACTAGTGTGTCTCTGGACTGGACATGAGACCTCAGAGGCTTTCTTAAATGCTTAACAAAGTTTATCCATGGGCCTATATTTTTCTCTCTGTAAACAGGCATGAAACACAAAAAGCAAAGTAAAGTGGACTTGGGAAGAATAGTCCTGAAGACTCCCTGAAGACGAGAGACACTGATTTCCTCTCTTCTTTCATTACTAAGCATTTTGAAAGGAGACAGTAATACATCCTTCGTTTCCACGTTCTCTTTAAAGACTTCTGTGTTCTCACTTCTGTCCCCCGTCCTCTACTTGCACTGTTCTTAAACATAGTATTATTGGTAAGTCTCACTCTCTCTGTTCTACGGGGCTTCTTGTCTCAACTACATTTTTGTTTCATCAAGTATCTGCAAAGAAATAAGAATAAATTTCCTTAGAGTATTTGTGTTTGTGCTCACGTCCTTTCTCCCCACCTGGACTGAAGCAAATGTGGTTTTTATTATACTCAAATTGTAAAACTAAAACCATTAAAAATGTAAATATCTGGTTCCTCAGGTATGTGCCTCGCCCTCAAAAAAACTACCACACTATGGCATATTTATAATCCTTTTTACACTTATTGTCAAAGTATTTGTTTCTTACCGTATTACAAATTTTTATTATGTAATATTTGATACATAAATATATAAAACATATAAGTAAGTTGTGAAGCATAATAATAAAATAAGCAGCTGTGAATCTGCTACTCAACTTAATACCTAGAGCAATGCAGTATCATTGAATCTGCCCATTTGTTCTATCCCTTTCTTGTTTCCTGCTTCAGGAGGAGTAACCACTACCCTGAATTTTGTGTGTCTTTTCCTTGCTTTGTTTTTTCCCTGTAGAAAAAAGTATAACCACATGTATCTGTATCTTTAAACATATACGTTGTTTAGCTTTCTTGTTTTTGTCTTCTAAAACATTATGCCATCTATATAGTCTTCTGCCTTTGATTTTTTTCACTCGTAATTATAATTCTTATACCCATTCCTGTTGCCACAATTCTTATAGGTCTATCATATGAATATATCGTTTTATTCATTCTTATGATAATGGCCATCTGAGTTATTTCCATCTTTGCTGTTACAAATAATGCAGCTGGGAACATTCAGGTACATGTCTCCTGCGTGGAATTGCTGGCTGGAACTGCTGAATCATAGGGTATGCCCACATCCAACCTCATTAGATAATCCTAGATTATATTACTAAGTGGTTATGCCATTTTACCACCCCTCCCGGCAGTGGATAAGACTCCACGTTTTCAACACTTAATATTTTAAGGTTCTTAATTTTTGCTAATTTACTGGGTATAATGCATATCTCAATGTAGTCTTAATTTGCATTTCCCTGATCACTAATGTGATTGGGCATCTTTTCCTAAATTGATTATGAAAATGTTTCCTCTTCTGTCAATTGCCTGTTCACATCTTTTGCCTATTTTTCTGTTAGGATGTTTATCTTATTTTTATTAAACTGTTGAAGTTCTTTTCAACAATTCTCAATTCTTTGTTTTGTAAATTTTTCCTTCCGATAATGTGGATTGTCATTTCATTTCCTTTATGAGTAGCTATGTGACAGAGTTCTTGTAAATGTAATGTAAGCAGAAGTCTGCTGGCAGGTTTCCATGAAAGTTTTTGCTTTCCTGACCAAAGGAAAAGACTGGCTTCCCTTCCTTTTTCTACCTTCCTTGAATATGGATATGATATTTAGAGCTACAGCAGCCATGTTGTGATCATGAGGGAAAGGCCAAGAAGAATAGTGTCACTGGTTTTTATAATGTTGAGCTACTAAAACAACCAGCAACTAGCTACCTCAAGATGTCTTCTTATACGAGGGGGAAGAAAATTGCTTAAGCCTCAAATATTCACAACTGATACCTGGCTCAAGAGTACTTTGATTCCCATTTCTGAGAAATCACATGTCATAATTATTCTAAGAAAACCTTTTACTTGAGCTAACTTAATTGAATTTCTGGTCCTTGAAACCACAAAGACCTGAATGAAACAATTTGGGTAGATAGAAAAGAGTGTTGAGGGAGAATGGACTTTGAAGAATGAAGAATGATTTTAGCATAGAGGCAAAACAAATGACATTTTCTTAAGTCTTTGAGTAGGAAAGGCTATGAAACAGAACTCACATTGAGGATTAGTGGAAGATAAGGCTCTAGAAGGTAGGTTATAGTAGTCTAGAGCTAAAAAATGTATCTAGAGGCAAAGAAAAATCCCTGAAAATACATAGTGACGTGCTGCAAACCGTCATTTAAAACAAGTTATCTAGAGGAAGTCATGATCTCTGCAGTGGGCTGTAAACTAAAGATGGGTAAACTTTGCTTTGTAAACCAGACTATCTAATTTCAAGTTCTTTTCTGTGTTTGTTTCTATTTTGTTATCTTCTGTCTTTCCTAAAATCTGATTTATGGCTTCCAGCCCTTTTCCAGTTTTGCTGCAGGGTATTAAAGGAGAAGTCTTCTGTTAACACTGGAGCCGGTCTACAAATGTGAGGAAGTAGTCGCAAGGGCTAGTGAAATATCATGAAAAGGAGGTGAATCTCTAGGATCAGAGTTGCGGCCTCCTGGATGGGCAAACCAGCTCCACCAAGATATTTTTGCACCAAGACTCTCCTTCAGGGTCACACTTGGAGGGCCTTAGTTTTATGTTGTCGTTGTTTTTTTCGGAAGTAAGTATTTTCTTAATAGACTTGTGATGATCAAATACAAAAACGTAGGTGCAGTTGCCTGTCAGCTGTCTGGTCTAGGCAGACATACGATACACATTTTTTCCAGAACAAAGATTTCTGTGAATCCACATCCATTATTTCTGCTTTCCTACCGCCCACTCAACCCCAAATCTACCATAGTTCCTTAGTCTACTGAAGCAAGGGGGCTGCTCTGACGTGACTTGTTCTTAGTAAATCCACACCTGGCCCTGGTAATTACCACTTCCGTTCTCTAGGATGCGCGCAAATTATTTCCGTAACAATCTCTTAAAAAATGTATTGCCAGAGATATAGAAGTTAATTACCTGTAAAATATCTATACTCTTAAAGTCATGGCATATATTTTTCTTTAAAAAAATCTTGGGTAGGATTGCCATCCAGTTACTGGTCTTCTTACTGGTCAGAATGCATGTTCACCTGTTTTAGAAATCATACTAAAATTCGCCCTTCTCTCACCTTCTGATTCCTTTTCTGTTCACAACCCTGTTTGTGCTCCCCTAACCCTCATCTTTGTATTGATATGACTGGTGAACTGAGCTCCTTAAGTGAAGGGAATAGGCCTTCTGCAGCTCTGTATTCCCAGCTCCTAGAGTTGTAGTTGGCACAATGAAGTCACATGCAGTTAAAAAAAAATTGCTGGGATAAACAAATGAATGAGAAAAAGAAAAATAAACAAGAGTTCAGAGAGAGTCAAGGTGTGCCCCCCCATCCATTTTTGTTACTGTTATTCTAGGGGGTTTTTTCCCCCCAAAATTTAAGCTTATCTGGAGGTAGAGGTAGGGAGTAGGGTTAATTTTCCTGCCACTATTCTTACAGGTCCACAGCACCACTTTATACACATTTTTTTATGTCCTGGATAATGTGAACTACTTTTCAAAAGAAGTTTTCTGTGTGAGGAAGTTCACCCTGAGCTGACATCAGTGCCAGTCTTCCTCTACTTTGTGTGTGAGATGCCTCCACTGCATGACAACGAGTGGAGTAGGTCCTCATCCAGGATCCAAACCCCTGAACCCTGGACCACCGAAGAAGGGCAAGCAGAGCTTTAACCACTCAGCAACCAGGCCGGCACCTAATGTGAACTACTTTGAAAAGTGGATCTATCCCCTTCTGAGTGTCTATGTCATGGAATACTTCTGATTGGACTGCAAAGGAAACTTACAGGTCTTCCTCTGTTTTTCCTCCTCTTAAAATCAGAGCCAGCAATGCATTTTTAGGAACTTTGTAGCACTCAGAGCCACCTTCCTTCATCAGAACCTAGTTGATGGTATGTCCTATTAACCTTGACCTAAAGATAGTATTCAGAGGCCCTCAGACCCTTTGCAATTGTATATTAAAGTCTGTGTTTGTGCATTTTGTTGTGAAATGGATCTGTAGCTCTTCCCAGATTCTCAAAGGGGTTCTGTGACATTGTACTGAGCTCGAGAACCTTGCTGCTCAGATAGTGCCCTCAGCTGGCAGTGTCTGCATTACCTGAGACCTCTCAGAAAGGCAGACTCAGACCTCACCCTAGACCCACTGAATCAAAATCTGCGTTTCAACAAGCTCCCAAGTGATTCCTGTGACATTTAACCTTTGAGAAGTATAGCTCCAGCAATTTCCCAAATTTCCCTAACGAGAATCATCTGACCTGCTTATTAAATATGCAGATTATCTGGTGTCTTTCTTGGAAATTTTGGTTCATTAAATCTGGTAAATTTTTTTTTTTTCTGCTGCAGAAGATTCACCCTAGGCTAGCGTCTGTGCTGATCTTCCTCTATTTTGTGTGTGGGAACCTAACGCAGGCCTCCAAAGCAGAACATGTGAGCTTAACCACTAGGCCACAGGGCTGGCCCTGTGTGATTTTTTAAAGTACTCTGGGTTGTTATACTTAGGGAGGAAGCACGGCCCTCAAAGATAAAGTCAAGTGAAGAATTTTTCAGATAATCTGTTTATAGCTGAAGGAGCCTTCCTGCAGTAGCCTTTTCCTCCTTTGCATACAAGAGCAGAGGAGAGGGTAGTTGGTACTTAGGCTGCTTCAAATCCCAGATACTCTCCGTTCCATAACTATATGAATCCTTGCGGTAAATCCCTCTTTCTCGAGCAAGCTTGGGCCTGTATACCCAGCTGCAAAAAATGCCTACACAATGCCACTAATTACCTTGGTGTTTTTTCAAATGTAGTATTTGATACATATAAAGGAACAATTGTAATGCGTGTAAATTGTAAAGCATAACAAAGTAAACACCTAATGACCCAACATAAGAGCTGAAACATCTCCAATATTGTTGAAGTTACCTGAGTGTTCCTTCGCAATCCACTACCCCACGTCTGCTCTATTTTCCATCTCCCACATTCTCAATTTTGTCTTTATCATTGCCTTTATTTAAAAGAAAATCATGGCTTTACCCTATTTATCCCTAGTCAATATTTTACATGTTTTGAGCTTTATAAAAACAGTGACATACCATGAACACTAGTAAGTGAGGATTTGCTTTTTCACTCATCATTGCTTCCAATGCTTATTCATGTTGTTTCCTGTTGCTGTAGATCAACCATTTTCACTGATGGACAAATTTCTGTTTGTGTGAATACGCTGCTTTTATCCATTCGCTTACCCATAGACATCTAGATGGTTTCCTTTGAACTTTTAAAAGGCATTTCAGATATTGCACCTGTAAACATTCTTGTCTGTGTTTCCTGGTGCACGTAGGCAGGAGTATCTCTAGAGCGCTTAATAGCGGTAGAATTGCTAGGGTCTGGTGGGAGGCTGGCAGTAGCCCCCAAAGATGTGTCCGCATCCTACTCCCCCAAACTTGTGACTGTTACCTTATATGGAAAAAAGTCTTTGCAGATGTGATTAAGTTCAGGATCTTGAGATGGGGAGATTGTCCTGGATTATCCAGGTGGGCCCTAATGTTATCATAAGTGTCCTTATAAATGGGAGGCAGAAGGAAATTTGACTCCAGACAGAAGAGAAGAAGGCAAGGCGCCCTGCCAACACCTTGATTTCAGTCTAGTGAAACTGATTTTGGACTTCTGATCTCCAGAAATGTGAGAGAATCAATTTCTGTTGTTTTAAGCCATCAAATTTGTGGTGATTTAAGCCATCCAGTCTGCTACAGCAGCCGTGAGAAACTGATACAATTATGCATATGTTCAGCTTTACAAGATAATGCCCAACTATTTTCAACCAAAATTGGCAAGCATCCAGAAACAGTGACGTGTCAATGTCATGTATCAAATATTAGCTCAAGTGTTGATTCCAGAATTCCTGTATAAAGAGGACTTAGGAAACGTATCTTGAAGCTAGCTGTATTTACATAAGACTTTACAAACAACTGGAAAAAAATTCAAAGGTCCCTATCAAAGAATCTGGGTGGAGAAGTGGGTCGCCATTGATTGGCACACTGTCAAGTATTACTTTACAGGTTGCAAAACAACCGACTGGTAACAGCCGACTTTTCTGCTTGGTTATATTATTCTCTTGCTGTTGTGGGGACCTTGGAGAGATCATTTTGTTGTTCCCAGGTCAGGGAGATATAACCAGTTCTCAGATGCGTGAATGGGTTTTTGGATCATTGGTGTGCCATATGTTTACTTGAATGATTTCCCTATTTATGAAACTATTTTTGTTGTTATAACAAGAGCAGGTTTACGTTGGAACGTTGCCCTGGCCTCTGCACCCTGCAGAAACAGCACTTCTCCTCATGACAGAGCCTCCAAGGACAGAGAAGAGGTTGAACTGCAGATAAGCCAGGCTTGCCCTTTACTCTTTGTGTATCTGTTATGATTCAATACAGTTCATAACTCTCTGTCTTGCCAAACTTCTAACATTCTAGGATCAGTGTTCCTGCTGCTGGTGACAGTTGCAGCCCATAAGGGATGAAAGCATGAGATTTTTAATAAGTTTACATTCCCAACAACCAAGAGAAGGAAGGTATATTCGTTTTCTATTTAAAAAATAATGTTGCATTTCCAACAACCAAGAGAAGGAAGTTATATTAGTTTCCTATTTCTGCTATAACAAATTACCACAAACTTGGTGGCTTAAAACACCAAAAATTTATTATCTTACAGTTCTGTAGGTCAGAAGTCCAACATGCGTCTCACAGGGTAAAATCGAGGTGTTGGCAGGGCTGTGCTCCTTTCTGGAGGATCCAGAGGAGGATCCATTTCTTTGCCTTCTTCTGCTGCTAAAGGCTGCCCACATTCTTTGGCCCATGGTCTCCCTCCTCCAACTTCATGCTCAGCCACACTGCATCTCTCTGACCATTCTGCCATAGTCATATCTCCCTCTGGCCGCATCAGGGAGAAGTCCTCCAATTGTAAGGACATGTGTGATTTTAGATTGGGCTCACCCAGATATCCCAGGATAATCTCCCCATCTCAAGGTCCTTACTTTAATTACGTCTGCAAAGTCTCTTTTGCCATATAAAGTAACATATTTACAGGTTCTGGTACTTAGGACATGGAAATCTTGGAGGAGGGCAATATTCCACCTATCACAGAAAACTTGTTTAAAGAGGGAAATACAGGACAAATACTATGCTTATTTAGCTGCAAGTGCTATAGACATATAAGTCATATAAGCAAACTGTTGTTCAGAGGGCCCATTAGAGCATTTCATTCCATTTAAAACTTTTTATTGAAGTATAATCTACATGCATAAAAGTGCACATATCATCAAAATACTGGTGGATAAAATTTTTATAAAGTAACACATCCTTGTAACCTGTACCCAGATAAAGAGGCGGAATATTGATGGCACTGCAGAAATCCCTCAGAAATCCCTCCTGTGTCCTCTTCCAGTCATCACCCCTGGCAAGGATAATTGCTGTTCTAGTTTCTAGTGTCATAAATTAATTTTGTTTCCATTTCAACTTAATGTCTATGGAATTACATAGTAGGTACTCTCAATATCAGCCCACCCTGGTGGTCTAGTGGTTAAGACTCGGTCTCATCACCACAGCCCAGATTTGTTTTCTTGTTAGGGAACCATGCCACCCAGCTGTCGGTTGTCATCCTGTGGCAGCCGTTTGTTGCTGTGATGCTGAAAGCTCTGCCACAGGTATTTCAAACACCAGCAGGGTTACTCGTGGTGAACAGGTTTCAGCGGAGCTTCCAGACTAAGACAGACTAGGAAGAAGACATTGGCCACCTACTTCCAAAAACCTGGCCGTGAAAGCCCTATGAATAGCAGCAGAGAATTGTCTGATGTAGTGCCAGAAAGCAAAAGGATGGCGCAAAAGGACTGGGCAGGGTTCTGCTCTGCTGTACACAGGGTCACTAGGAGTCGGCATTGACTCCGCAGCACTAACAACAACAACTCTCAATATCAATGGACTATATTGCTATCAAAGGAATTATACAATATGTGCTTCTTTAACTCAACATTATTTTTATGAGATCCATCCATTTGTTGCATGTAGTTCTAAATCATTCATTCTCATTGCTGCAGAGTTTTCCATTCTGTGAATATACCACAATTTATTTATCCTTTCTATTGTGTATAGGCACTTGTATAGTTTCCACATTTGGGGCTATTATGACTTGTGCTGCTATAAACATTGTTGTCCACTTCTTTTGGTGTACGTATGAATGCATTTGTATTGGGTTACACCTGCAGTGGTGTTGCAGGGTCATAAGGTGTGCATATGCTCAGCTTTAGTGAAGATTGCCAAATAGCTTTCCAGAATGTTTTTACAATTCCTACTAGCTATGTATGAGAATTCCAACTATTCCACATCCTCACCAATACTTTTTCTCTATAGGCATTCTGGTGGCTACATAGAGGTATTTCATTATGGTTCTGATCTGCATTTCCCTAGTGAATAATGAAGTTGAACACCTTTTTATATATTTATTAGACACTTTTATATCCTCCTTTATACAGTGTCTATTCGATTCTTTTGTGCATTTTTCTATTTGGTTGTTTTTATTTTTCTTATAGATTTTTAGGAGGTCTTAGTACATTCTGGAAACAATCTCTTTGTTGGATATATCAATTGATTGTCTTTTGATGAGCAGAAGTTCTTAATTTTAATATTGTCCAAAGCAATTTGTCAATTTCTCCCTTTAAGGTTAGCACTTTTGCTATCCTTTATAAAAAAAATTTGTCTTATATTTTAATTTAAACTTTGTTTTCTTTTCAATTTAAAAAAGGACGAATGCTCATGTTAGAAATCTATGGGTAAAGAAAAAGAAAAGAGGGGAAAAAAATCAACCATAATTCAATACCCTCAAAACAAAGATAATATTTTATAACTTTTCTGACTTGGAAAATTATATGTCCTAGTTATTAAGTGAGACTAACTACATGGAAATTTTGACTTCATGGAACTTTAATACATAAAAATATTTAATATACCAAC